CCCTGGACACGCGTTGTCAGTATATCACCCTGCTTGGAGCCTGCCAAGACTATTGGACACATTTGGCCCTATGATATTCCCAATACATAGAGCTGCACTTTTACGGAGGAGGATTTTAATCAGTGCGCATGCACCTGTACATGAGACATGCGATTTTGGTTAGAAAGCCTTTCTATGCCGTTCTTACATCAACTAATATTAAACAGTGTATGACATATCCGTTCTATCAAACATCCCACTTGCAGTGAGCGATCTACTAGAGCCAACTGCCCCACCACAAAGACTTCGACCCCTTTTCTCAATCGGTGTCCACGATATACCCCTCCTCGAAGATGACCTCAAAGCCTCAAAACGAAGAGCCGCCTCCGAAGATACCGCTCAGACTGAAGGGCGCGATGAGCCTGGCTGTGGTTGGATAGCCTGTACGACCGACAGTATTCTCGCTACTAAAACCCATCTCTACGATGTCCTCATTACCATGCCACCACCCCACGCCTCCACCTCCGCCTCAAAAGTCTGGCCCAAAATCGAATTATCGCCTGGCGGCATCGAACTAAAAGCTACCCAACGCGATCTACGCCGTTACAAAGCCCTCCGATGGGGTCTATCTCGAACTCCTCAGCCCGCCTCCCCGGACATAAGCACCTCGCGTCGCGCATCCACCACCTCCTACCTCGAGCAATTTCCCTCCCCTACCACTCTTGACACCTCTACTGCTACTCTCCCTCCCCGAGACGATCCCAATCTCGATATCTCCGACACAGACTCTATCATTGAGCCCATCTCCTGGGCTGCGCTCGCATATTCCGGATTCATATGGTGGGCTTCAGCGGGCGAACAACGCCTCCATTCCCAGGAAGAATGGGAAGCTGATTCGGCACTTCTATCCTCGCCTCATACACCAAATCCGTGCCCTACTCCGTTAGGTTTTAATGCGAGCGGGATGATGACGGCGGAAACGGAGATGGGAATTATTGCCTATTTTCATCGTTTTACTACGCAGATCCTTACGTGCTTAAGCGATATCATTGATGCGAGTGATTCGGATGATGAAAGAGAAGATGATCAAATACATTCACATAGTTCTTCCGCTCCATTAATCAACAGAGGAAGCCGTAATAGTTCTGGTAGTGGCGGGGGCGGAGGAGACGCAACCGATAATTCCTCTTTAGAAGAGGAAGAAGAAGGAGATGGAATGAGCTGTGTGTACATCAGCAGTGTAGATATGGAACGCATGGGTCTCGATGTATGGAGCGCAGGCGACTATACGTTTGTAGAGGAAATCGTAAGAGAATATTTTGGGAGAAAGGCAAAGATTGAAGGGAGGGGAGTGGATATTTGTGGTGTCAGGATTTGTTAGGGGAATTGTGAGCTGGGGATAGTTCGGATTGGGACTAGGATGCCGAGAGATGGATTGTTAGAGTTGTGATGGTTGTTATCCTTCATTTAAATCCCTTGCTTTTCGTCTTTATATAGGAAGAATAAAAAGAGCGCTAAGATGGGAGTTCTGGATCGGCGTGTAGGAGTTTGGAGTCTTGAATCCTCATCTGGATCTGAATTTGATGCTGGTGTTGGTGCCAGAAAGCAAGGAAAGAAGGAAAAGGAAAGGATTGAATCACGCATCGAAATATTCAAATTTCAGTTGTGTCACTTTCATCTTATGCTTCACATCATTTGCACCATGAAAATCGTAGACGCATTTACACGTATTTTAAGAGTATAAATGAATGATGTGACTGAAGTGAACATAAGAAGATTAAACATATTCATTCTTTCATAATCGAATTTTTTAATTCATTGCATTGCATTGCATTTCTGTTCTGCTCTGCTCTGCTCTGCTCCAAGCAAAACTAAAGCCGCACACAACAAGCTATGTGTATAACATACAACGCCAACCCAAATGCTCATCACGCCTATTTTGTACAAGTACATACGATAAAGTTTCCCCCAATAAAGAAAAATCCCAAACACCCAAGAGATTCAGTGAGACAGACGTATAAAAGTAAGTATTGAAGATCCGCTTCAGAATGAATTCATGATATAGATTTAGAAGTAGACGAGCATGACTCATTATTCCCCATCAGTATCCGTATCTGTATCCGTCTCACTCTGTTCATCAACTTCTTCTTCAGTGTTACTATCCTCATCACTCGAGTCTCGAGTTATTTGCTTCTTCTTTTTGGGTGGCGGGACACCGGTTTTCATGGCTTGCATTTGTCCTGCTAGGGAATCTAGATTTTGTTAGTACGAGCTCAATTAAAAAAATGATAATGTTGGGATTTTAACATACCTTCATCCGGCTCACTAATATCGTCCTCTGCATCGATTTCCATAGCCTTGCTAGCATCTTCCACGACAAGTGTAGCTTCAAGCTTGGTATCAAACCCAACATATGAATCACAGATGAGATGCATAACAAAGGTGTAGCTTCCGGGTTGTGGCGGAGCCTGGAACTGTGCCTTAAGCGTTTGCATATTGAAAGTCGGTTTTCCACTTTCGTCAAATATGGGCTTGTCGAAGGCAAAGAATGTAAAAGGTGGTACAGCAATCTTGCCTTGCTTGCTATCGGTGAGGAAAACATGCCATTTAGGCGAGTGGTCACGTGTAAAGTAGGGGGCGAATGCAAGGGGTGGGAAGACCTGCTTATTTTCGGCCTTTTCGCCCTTGGCAGACTTCTTCGCGCGACCAAGAATGGCATCAAGATCATCCTCGTCTGGGTCAATATCTTCCAAATCGAGTTCGTTAACCTTAGGGACGTTCTCGCTTCCAGGAGGGATGAATCGCCCTTTGACAACAAAGGATACTAATGAGCTAGGGGTGATAAACTTTTCGCCTGTAACCTTGAAGAATGCCTTTTCAACCTGTAAATGAGGAAGTTGCTTTGCAGTAGACATGGCGGTTTTGTATTGAGCTTCTGTGAGAAGCCCATTTCCAACACTCAACTTCTTTCGGTATGCGTTTGGTAGTGCCATGTACTGTTGAAGGGTCAAATGAGTTTTAGAGTCGCCTTCAATTGCCTTCGCGATAGCCGGAGTAATGTATGGTAATTGAAGAAGGGGCGAGGCATTGGGTGGTAAAGCTTGAACGATGTTTTGAGCAGTCGCGTATGATGCAAGAATAGGGCCAGTAGTCGTGAAAGCGAGAGTGATAGCTGTGAATGCATTGTTGAGGTCATGAGCGATAGGAGCAACTTCGTATTTTGCCTTGTTGAGTTCAGAGTCTTCAAGTTCAGTTCGGCCCAAGTATGCCCATAGTAATGCAAGAGCCTTTCGTCGAGCACCGCCGTCTAAATCCTCTAGCTTTGTTTTGTCCTTGGCTGACAAGCCAGCTGCAGCAGTGATTCCATCTCCTTCCGCAAGAACTCTTGATTCCAATTTGCCAAGTCCCGAATCAGCTTTGTGGCCTTTCAAAATTTTCTTGTATTCAACACCACTGCTTAAAGCACCAACAATTCCGCCCTCGGTGATGCTCTCTTGATATTCTTGGAACAAGTTGTTGGCACTTTCAATTAAGACCTTCTCTTTTGACATGCGCTGGGTGCCATACCACCAGGTTCCGACAAGGTAAGGAAGTAGAACTCCCAAAAGAAGCGCATAGACAAGCACGACATATTTTCCGTTTCCTTCAGAGACGATCCAGGTGGGCAAAGCAATTCCGATGCTGAAGCTCTGTTTGCCATCGGGATGTCCAAATTGTATATAATTGTTTCGGATATCCTCATCGGTAAGCGCCTTGTATGCCTTTGTAAGCTCTACGAAGTAGTCGTTCAATGATTCGATCGTTTGGTTTTTAGCTGGGTCAGGTCTAATCTTATCAGGGTGGAATTTCAACGAAAGTCGTTTGTAGTGTGATTTGATTTCTTTTTCAGTAGCGGACTGTTGAGAGATTAGCCAATATCAAAAAGAGGTAATTAAAGCCAAATTACCTCTTTGATATCCAAGATATCATATGGATTCCAGATTTTTGCTACAGTTCTGGCTGTGACTTGAAATTGGTATGCCATAAGAGCTACTACCGCCCACCCCACAACCATAGCAATCATGCGTTTTATCTTTCTCTGTTTTCTTCTCTGTGCCCTCCTTTGGCTATCGATTAGATCCGCATGTTCTGGCTTGTAATCTGTCTTTATTCTGGGCGCCGTGGCGCCTGGATCTGACCTGGGTCTTAAAACGTCCCAAGTCAGAGCTGTAGATACGATTCCAACCAGTGTACCGACGAAGATAGGGAAAAATTGTCCCTGTAAAATGTTAGCTAGCCTCCTTGTGCTGTATGCGCAAAAGTTACATACCTGTTCATCGTAGGAATAATCCGTTCCACTCATCTTGAAATTATTTTTTGGCCTTCAAGACCTTTCTTTTAAGTGAAATTGCACGCAAATTAAAAATTTAATTCAACTCTCCCCTCCAAATATTATTTGCGACAATGTATCTAGCGAAGGAAGGACATGAAAGAAACCTATAAGTTGATTGTTCTTCGAAAGAAGATGTGTTATCATACGTTTCGACTTTTTGGCCCTCGAGCTTTTGAGATGTGGCTCGAACTTCAGTCATCACCGTAGAAAGAGAGGCTAGCTACTATTGGTATAGTTTGAAGCTCCCCACCAATCGAAACTTTGAAAACGAACTTTAAATTCAGGTGAAATCTGGACAGAGAAGGATATCGAAGAAAGGATTTATAAAGAATTTATTTATACATTCCCGATGTAGCCCTCAATGAAATAATAGTATGAGCTGCATGAAATGTAAAATCGGGATTGTTTATCATGTATTAAGCTCTTTATATTGATGAATATTTACAACAAGCCAATTCCGTTCTTAATTGCCTTGGCTTTATTCTATAGTCTTCCCAGAAGTTCGACACGGACAGCACCATCAGCATCATCATATATCTAAGATTCCCAAGCGAAAACTCCTGTATGCCAGATATAAAACCCAGCTCATGGCGCCTAGCAATGCAAATCAATGTTTATCCCTACCCCAATACTTATCTTGACATCGTATCTATCCCTTCTTAGCAAAAACATAGCAAACTTTACATCTTTCATCCTCTAGGACTGAAAGTAAGACGTCGTCATCTAGGGACTGTTTCACGTCCTTTACCTCTGTAGCAATCAAATCCGCCGATTTGATATGGAACATCGAAGTATCAATGTGTCTATACTCCATTAACGCTTGCATCTTCTTGCCTTTCTTGGATCGTTTTCCTTTAGTGGCTTCAAGAGCAATCTTTTGCTGGGCCTCTACATTTGCTTTGGTTGCTGGCACCAGTGAACAAGCTGGATTGATAGGGAATTCATCATCATCGTCGTCCTCTTCATCCTCTTCACTGGCGCTGATCTCTTTATTGGGCTCCGGCATCTCAGATGATGATACAACTGGCTCCTCGCGACCAACTCCTCCACAATCGCAACCCAAAAGCTCGTGAGTTTGGCATTGCGCATTTACATCTAATCTAAAGAGGTCTCGTAACTCATCAGCTGAAAAACTTGCTTCGTTCTTCTTGCCATCCATAACACTGTCGGCGAGTCCCATCTTAGTAACTTGTCGTTGATATATCTTTTCATCCATGCCTCCCGACATTAGAAACCTGTATATCTTGACTGGACGCTTTTGCCCGTCGCGATGGATACGTGCCATGGCTTGAAGGTCAGTAGCAGGATTCCAGTCAACGTCAAACAATACGAGGCGTGATGCTCCAATTAGATTTATACCAGCACCGCCGGATTTAGCCGAAAGGAGAAAGGCAAAATATTTTGATGCAGGTGTCTTGTTGAACGTATTTACTAGATCCTGTCGTTTTGCCTGAGGAGTGCTACCATCGAGGCGCAGAAAAGGTAAATTTAATGACGAAAGGTGTGACATTAGCAGGTCGAGAGTAGAAGTGTAGTTGGAGACAAGAACTATCTTTTCGGTGGTTGACTTCGAAAGCCGCAGGAGCATACGATTTAAAACTCTGAATTTACTGCTTGCCACGACTGGATTTTTCTTGAGAATCTCGGGAGGTATGCTTTCTAAAAGCTGAGCAACGTTCGAATTGCTAGGTGTATCTGTATCGCTCTTTTTGACAAGGAGGCTCGGAGCGTTGCAGACTTTCTTGAGCATAGTGATAAGCTGTAGAGAGGCCTCTGAGCTGCCAAGGACTCTGCCAAAGACCGGAGAGGCTAGGACATGCTGATAAACTTCAGCCTGAGCTTGAGTGGGCTTGCAGAACAATACATATTCTGTCTTTGGCTTTAAGTATTTTGAAAGTATGCTGGCGTTGCGACGTAATATAAACAACTTTGTCAACTCGGCCAACTCCTCTTCTCGGGCCGTTCCCTTCTCCATGTCGCTCTCTGTAGCACCTGGCTGTCTGCTTTTCAAGATTGGGGCCTCGAAACATTTTTTGAAAGTATTGTAGCCATTGAGTAGACCGGGGTTTACAAAGTCTACCATTGTAAAGAACTCTGATAAATCATTTTGTATAGGTGTTCCAGATAAAATGACTCGTCTCTCGGTATTCAAATTCTTGATTGCCTGCGCCGATTTGTTCGCAGCAGTCTTTAAGCGATGTCCTTCATCAGCTACGACTATATCTATTCCACCTCCTTTCTTTAACTCTTCCTGTACTGTGCGTAGTTTTTCATACCCGATGATCATGACGCTATAACTCTTGCCGTGAGTGAAATCGGTAAGCCGAATGTTTTTGGATCCATCTGCAACGAAAACGCCTATTCTTTCATTACCGAGCCACTTGTTGAATTCTGCTTTCCAATTAGAGATAAGAGTTACGGGACAGACAATCAAGGCCTTCTTTATGACGCCCCCCTCGTGTGGGTGCTCCGGATTTTGCTTCAATAACGTCCATAACAGCGCAATTGTCTGTAGTGTCTTTCCCAGGCCCATCTCATCAGCTAAAATTGCACCCTGTCCATTGAAGGAACGGTAGCCCATAACGCACTCGTACAAAAACTTAACTCCCTCCTTTTGATGATCACGTAGATGGCGACCCAAGAAGGGATCGACGACAACATCCACAACTTGCTTGCCTTTCGCAACACACTTGGGATTGGGCTGTTGCATTACAATCGCTCCTGGTGCAGAGGGATCATGCCGGGGAGTGGGCGCACCGCTTTTATTCTGTGGCATGATTGTCGTTGTTAGAAGAGGATTTTTGAATTGGGATTTGACTGCATCACTTTTCGGAGCAGAGGCATAAAAACTTTTGGCAGGAATTGCCGAGCCTAAGCCACCATCCTTTCTCTTCCCAAGTATGCTCGTAGATTTGTTTTTCGATATATTTGATAGGGTTAGATTAGGCGGAGATCGTGCGGCTGGACTGCTATGACTGTCTGATGTAGTAGATTGACCACCATTATTTAGAAAGTGTCGGCCAGAAAGAAAATCTGCCTTTGTAATGGCTGCATCAATCTCGACATCCTTCCCTCCAATGCTCAATGTACTGCCGGGTAACAAAGGCTCATTATACATGCAGCGGCCCATATCTCTGCCATCGATATTTTGGAGTCGAGCGTACCCTCCGGTAACTGCAAGTACTCCATCCCCATCCCAGGTCTTGTGTTTCTTCATCGTGAATTTGCGCCTGTGGAACTCATTAGTATGATTTCAGAGCAGAAGAGGGGTGGCAAATGCTCACCATAATACCAAATAGTATCCGTCAATGCTAGTTGGATTTTCTGATGAAGTAGGGGCTTGAGTTGCTTCGACAGGATTCTTTACAACCATCAAAGGTTTTCGAGGCGCATTGGCAGCCGAAGATGCAATCGGAGCCTTAATCTTTGGAGCCTCTTCAACATTGTGAATCAGAAGCCGTCTCTTCTTTGCCACCGGTTTAGTCAAAATTTCTTCCTCGGAATCTGATACGACCTGGACATCTGAGAACTCATCGACCGGCTTAGAAGGTTTCGGCACGCTCTTTAAGAGTGGAGGCCGGAATGGTTTGAACATTTTATTTTGACATTTGTTGAAAGCAGGGCAAATGCTGAGACGCGATGGTCATAAGGTTCGTGTTTTGTCGCGTAAATTTCGATACGCGCCTACACGTGACACTGACTAAACTGATCACCGGTGATGGTGAAAGGGCATCCCACTTGATCAATGGTAACAATGTAAGGTTAAAACGTTATCATCAGGTATGATTATCCATTCATTAAACCTCAACTAAATAAACTATTTGGGCTCCAAGATAACTCCGCTATTTTTGTTCAGGTATATCTACATTTATTGAAGCATGGAGTCCAGACTCTCTCCCAACACCCCCTCGATCTTAACAATCCAGCGATTCGTCTCCTTCTCTACAATCTCATCGTCATCCTCTTGGAGCTCACTAATGAATGGCAACATTTCTGGCAACATAGCCAACCATTCCTCTCCCAATCTATCGGTCAACGCTTGCTCGCACTTGACTGCTGCGAGTCTAACACTAGATACTTCTGAACGAAGATGCTTTAAGATCATCCCGTTGAGTTCCTTATGATGATCCGATGAATCAGCGGCAGCAGCAAGTTCAACGATAGCGGGAACAAGTTCATCGATCAAAGGTAATCCCGAGGCGTTCACAAATTGATCACACAAGACATGTGCGATTGCCTTGAAATGAGCTGGAGATTGCCAAAAGTCATCTTGGTCGTGCTCGAAACATGGTACTAAAGCTCGAAGAACTCTTGTCCATAACTCTCTCGAAGCGTCATTCTTAATATCGGTCTCTTTCAAGATCTGTACGGCATTGTCAAGCAAGTACGTGGCATAGCTTGTGACGATTGACTTGAGGTTGCCGAAGAAAACGGCCATAAACCCGTAGACACTCTGCAAACGCAGGTTTCTGCCAGACTTATCTTTTTTGGGCAATGATGATGATGCCCATTCAACCAGGTTGGAGAATATAGGTCTAAATGTCGAATCGTTGAACTTGTAGATCATTTCTAGAGCGACTTCGTTCACCTGTCCTTCTATTTCTGAAATAGTCTCGTCGCCTTGGTCATAATCATCCGCGTTAGACAAGTGTCTTCGGAGATCGAACGCGTTTTGGAATATCTTTGCAAGTATAGTGGAATGTTTGGAGACAACAGTCTTTGGATGAGCTTTGATTGACATGCTAAGCATCTCAAGTTGTTCACGGATAGCCTTATTTATATTAGTAAGTAGTCATAAAACTTTCAAGAACAGCAATGGAAGACTCACCCAAGTTCCTGCCGTTACTGCTTGCGCCCAGTTCTTCTCTAAAGCAACAAACATACTCTTAGCATCCACACGCTTTGCAGCCAAGTGAAGACAATTTTCTCTGATTTCATCTGCCTCATCTTCGAGCTCAGCCTCTGCTGAGTTGTTGGATATTAAAAGAAGGGTATCGAGGTATCCGCCTGTAATCATGTATGGAAGGTGTTGTACGAGAGCGCTTATAAAAGTGTATCCAGCGTTGTGGAGTTTCTGAGCCTCAACAGTGTCTTCGATGCTTGATTTGATGTACTCCAAAGCCTTTGGAATGGCAACAGGCAATACAGAAACCATACCTTCTCGCAAAATCTCTACCAAAGAGGCTAAGGACAGAAGAGCCATAATTTGCAAGCCAGCATCACTCTGCCCCAAGCAATGATTGCTTGCAATGGTTTCTGCAGCAGCAGACACAGCTTCGAGATCCTTCTTTCCATATTTCTCTGAGATTTTCTCAACGCAAGCCACAGCAGTACGCTTATAAGGCATGTCGGTAGACTCTCGAATGATTGAGGTAAGTTGGGGTAAGAACCCAAGCATTGCAACTCTTGAAACGGCATCTGATGCGCTTTCCTGGTCGATGCGAACCTGTAAAGAGCGCAAAATCTTTCGTCGCAAGTCCTCGTTAGGTCTATCCAAGAGTCCTTCGACTGATTTGACAAATTCACTTGTGGAAAGAAGACCCAAAATACTTTCTAGAATGTCTCCACAAGCATTGTGCATTGCCTTCTTATCTTTCAAAGATTCTGTCAAGACCAACAAGTTTTCCAGTAACGTGGAGTAGAGCTCGCGAATTCTAGCAGCTTCCATGTCGTCTCGATCAAGGAGTTTTGCAGTTTGTGTAATCAATCGTCGTTGCGAGAGTATGTGTGGAAGAAGCGTGAGTTCATGGAGAGCTGCACGTTGTGGGTCAATCTTCTCATGAGCTCCCAGTAGAATCAGCGAAAATGTTGGCTTGGGAGCCAAGAGATCATCAATCAGCTCGAGGTATTTAATTGCAGACTGGAGTTGAACCTCTACGCTGAATGCATTGGTCAGCTCCGCAGAGAAGGATTTAATATCATCGTTGACACCATATTTATCCACCAACATTATTAATAATGCGAATAGGAAATCTTCTGCTCCGAGAGTTTGGACCAGAGAAATAAACAATCCCTTTCTGCGGTGGACAGGAATATGCTCATACGCCGCAACAAAGCTCAAGAGCAACTCAGCAGCCCCTGTAACGGGGTTCCCTTTGTCTTTTCGAAGCGAGGTGATAAGAGGTGGGATGACCTCACGAATGGTTTGACTAATGACATGTGCAGAATAATCATCATTCTGTCTTAGTACTGAGCTTCCCATAAAGGTAAAGATGGGCATAACACTGTGGAGAACAACTTCTGGTGCGATGTCTGCAAGTGCAGCAATCATCAATAAAGCACCGTTCTGTACCTGTGGACTGGCTGTTTTCTGGACGCAATCGACAAGTAAATCTGCTCGAATATCAGAATGTTCTAACTCCATTTCTGGGTTGGCCTTGTGTGCTTTCAAAATTGATAGTAGGCTATTCAAGACCAAATCTTGGAGATATGCAAGCTCGGATGAAACTTGGACCTTGAAGTGTTGAAGTTCTGCCAAGGTGTTAAAGAGGCCCTTGAGAAGTTCTGGATGGTTTCCTGGATCAGAAGTATCGATGAGTTGCAACACAAATGTGACTTGGCGTATAGCAGCTGCAAGTTGTTTGGGGTCCTGTAAAGAAGTTCTAGCAACTTCTCCGTGGCTAGTTCGACGTCTTTTACTTGCAGGTGGAGCATCTGTAAGTTTCGCCGTCGTAGGTAATTGATCGAGGAAAGAAAGGAGAATTTCTGTTGAAAGAGGAGCGTTTCGCAAGAGTTCTAAAGCTTCTTCCGCTGATTTAATAGATCCCTCAGATGAAGATTGGGAAGCGTCCATCAACATTTGAGCTGTCTGCAGCTGCACATCACCCTTCAAAGACGTCCACATCTCACGCAGTCTTACAAATACGGCCTCAAGAAGGGTAGGGCGATCCGAAGCAATTTCGCCGTGTACAATTTGAGTGAAGAATTGCAAGCCTTCTTTGTCATTAGCCACAACGGTCGCAGCTGCTTGCTTATCGAAGTCTGCCATGGCAAATTGTTCATCTTTCGAGTGTTGCAATGCTACTTCTGGACCGAGGGATGCCCATTGTTGAAGTACTGGAAGTAGAACTTTGGTTCTAGTAGTGCTAGCAATGCTACGAACATGGTTAAGAATAACAAGAAGTCTGAGTTTGACCGAGTATACAGGTGTGTGAATGACGTGACTGGATAGGAATGACAAAATCGAGGCGCGGGTAGTTTGAGTCAAGCGTACATCATTCTTCTTGTTCGACTCTGCAGAAGCACGAGGACTATTCAAAGACTGTTCCACTACGGACTCAATGTGGGTTTTATCGAGAACACATTCTTCTAAAGCTGGAACCAAAACCTCTCTCAGAAGACGAGTAGCGTTATCAATTGACAACCATTTCGTCTCTTGAGTTTCTTCACCTGGGCCATAGATATCATCGAATGCCCATTGTTGTCGAGAGCTCGAGGCTTTCTTTGTGATTGCGCCAGCCGGGTAAAACGTCTCAATTTTGAGGATAAGCTCTGCTGCGGCACGACGAACCTTGGGCGCAGGATCCGCAAGCGCTGAAATTGCATATGGTATGATTCCTTGAATATCCACGCTTGCATTGTCATGTCCTGATAAGTATCGAGCCACCAAGTGAAGTGCAGAAACTCGGGCCATAACCGGATAAGGGCCGCACCAAATTCTAATATAAAATGTGAGATATAGAGTTTTTTCCAGGGCACTTGCGCGATTCATGATAGGTAGTTCATCAAATACATCCAAGTCGCCGGCATTAACCGCGGCGACCAAAAATGCTTGACACAAATCTTGGTAGATGCGGGAAGCACCATGCGTTAAGAATGAGGTCTCCTTAACACTGCTTTGTGGAAGTTTTTCAATTAGTTGTCGGAAATCGGGTCGAGATTCTGTTTTCGTATCATCATCTCCCATGACCACGTCCTCATCTACCTCATTTGCTGCTTCTATTCGTCTAATTGTGGTGGAGAGCTTCAGTTCTAATTCATCCATATCGACGTCGGTCTCTTTTAATGCACCTTGAATAACAGTCCCTACGTGACCAGAAAGTTGTGTCAGCGCAACAAGAGATGATGCGAGATGCGCTCGGGTGTTCTTCTCGGAATCTGTAGCATCATCAACACGATGCGCCACCAGCAGTAGATGCTTCACAACCACAGAAGTTTGCGCATCGCTAAGAAGACCATGTTCCACAATCTTTTCGATGGTTGGAAGACCTTGAACCTCTCCGCTTTTACTTATTCTGTCAACAAGGGCAAGACATAGTCCATTGGAGAGTCGGTCGATTCGTCGCTCCTTTCCTAATTCGATCAATTGAGTTGCAAGATCCGGAACCTTGAGCAGCTCTTTGATTACACGTCTTGTGATTTGCTTTGCGCCCCTGTGTTGTGCCAAAATTGAAAGACAAACCAATCCAGGACGAACGGTTTCGCTAGTCCAACCAAGAACCAATGCTTCCATCATTGCTGTCAGGAGTTTGTCGTCCAATCCTCCTTTGGAAGCTAAGATTGACAAGATCATGTAACATCCAATTCGCAAGTCCGGGACCTTTTGCATCGAAAGACCTTCGTTGAGAGTTGGTAGCAATCTCATTATCACATCCTGCTCGTTTTGTTGTTGGACTCCTCTTCTCCCAGAACGGGCCTTGTCCAGCATATTACTCGTAGCCTCGGTCATGATACCAGCCCAAAAAGCTAGAAGAGCAGGATAATGCTGCCTAGCTTTACATATACGCAAAACATATGCATTGAGTGTCGAGGCAAAAATAGTGCTATCAGTCGCAGCTGTGACAATTGGCCTTCTTTGTGGTTGGGTCAAGGATCGAATATATGGTGCTAAAAATTGATATTCTGCCGGAATCTTCGATGGTATTAAGGAAAGTAGTGTAGTAAATATAGGTAGGGTATGGTAGGGTAAGAAAGTTGTCAAGAGAAAGGATGTATTGTACTCGTGAATTCTACATGAATTAGTTCCGAGAACGAAAAGTTGGAATTCGAGAGGCATACCTGAATCTCCTCACCAACCATTCAACTGCTTTGATTGCTGGATTCAGACGTAGACGGCCACCAACTAATCCCAAGAATGCTTCCAGCCGTTTGTCTAATTCGGAAATCTCTGCCACTGGCAGCTGTGTACGATCTACCGTCTGACTTTGTTCGCTGAAGATTGTCTTCTGGAACTCGAGGAACCGACCATCGAGTAGACATAGTTCTTGAAATCCTTCGTGACATAATGGATAGAGTGTGTCGAAACTTTGTGATGCCGCGACTCTAGGTTCAAAAATCAGAGACTTTGAATGCGCAGCCTTTTGCGCCTTGAGATTTAATGAATTGGTTGAATTGGTCGCAATCTGCGCCAACTGTGCTTTAAGTGAAGAAGCCATTGTGTGATTATTGATACCACAATGTTACAAAACTATGGCATGTCGAAGTTCAAGAATATTATTTCTCGACGCTTATTACTTCATTCAAACTTCTCAATAAAAATTTCCAGCTCTATCGTTATCGAAAAATTTGGTCGGATAAATATTCGGCCCGATGACACTGCCGCTTTAAGAGTAAAGTTCCAAGTTTACAGCAGTAACATTGTAAGCAAATAATAAACCATTAGTAAATTCATAGTAGATCAACCGGTCCTCATCGAATATATTCTTTGAAGTTATTGGTAGCCATCCTGTTGATTAAATTCGTGCTAGTAATCATGACGGAAGCAAATCCTCCCGTTCCCAAATTCGCATCTTTCCGGTCAAAACCTTCTAGCGCTGTCGCAATTATCGACTCCGAAAAGGAGGATAAACACAAATCAGCGACAAGACAACATACCCAGGAAGAAGAACGTCCAAGAAATTATCGTCGGCATCACAGATCTAGAAGTAGAGAGAACCATAGGTCTAGGAGCAAGGAGAAGTCATATACACGTGACTCCCGCCACAGATCACGGAGTCGAGAGAAGCACAGGAATAGGGAGAAGGAAAACAATGAAAGATATAGCTCACGCCGTAGATCTCGGAGTAGAGATGGCCGTTCGTCTAATAATCATCGGCCTCTGAATGAGGAACAAATTCAAAGAAGCTCTACCGAAGTGTCCACCAAACATCAACCAGATGTCTCGGGGTCCGAAACTGCTTCTGACATTTATGTTGTTGACAGAAAAGGAGATGTGAAGAACCTGGTATATGGAAGCAATCACCGCTACAGTGTGCCACCATTTCATCGAATTGGGGCCGGTCGCGTTCTTGGTGCACCTCGAGACACAAAAATTGACAGAGATTATTCAGATGATAAGGGTATTGTGCTTACAAATTTGAGAGACTTCAGATTCAATAATCGAGAGAAATACATTTTTTCTAAGGTGGAGAGAGACAGACCTCGCCTTTTGAAGATCCGTTCAGAAGTTTTGGCCGAGGAACCTTTCTTGCACGATGACGATTTCGTTCCACTGCAGATTAGTAGAGGTAAAAAGCGAAAGAGAGTGGATCGAGAACTTGACTCGAATTCCGAATCTGATAATGATGATACTCATTATCGCTCAATACAAGGGAAAGCTAAAACGTCTAATCAACCTCAGGATAAAGCTTTTCAATATGCTTCAGACAGTGATTCCTCAGGGTCAGATGCTGGCCGAACTATGAGACTTGAGTCTTCAATCAAACAGAAGAATATAGAGCTATCCAGACGAATAGAGCATGCCCCAAATGATGTAGATGCGTGGCTTGCATTGATTGAGCATCAAGATATACTTCTCAAAGCAGGGGATGAAAGTCGTCGCATCACTAATGCAGAGATCAGAAGTACGGCGGACATCAAAATCCACATGTACGAAAAGGCTTTGGACAAGATTCACTACCTACAGGACCGCGAGCGACTACTTCTTGGCCTGATGGCGGAGGGTGCAAAGATTTGGGAAATAAAGGTTCAAGCTGAGCGATGGGCACAGATTGCAAGGGACAACATCAATAGTATCGTCTTATGGAAAAAGTACTTAGATTTCAGACAAAGTAACTTTTCAAGATTTAGATATGAGGATGTGCGTGAAGTATTCCTCGGTAGGATTCGTTCGTTGAAGGATAGCACCAGCGCCGCGCCAGAATGGAGCTCTGTGAAACTACTTTACGAGCAGCTCCTATATGTAGTGCTCAGGGCAACCCTTTTCATCCGTGAATCAGGCTTCACAGAACTCGCCGTGGCAATCTGGCAAGGTATCTTGGAGATAAATTTTCAAGGGCCGATGTCTATACGCACTGAGCATGAGGCGCCAGGGATTGCGGAAAACAGAACAATTGAGCTATTCGGTGAGTTTTGGGAGGCAGAAGTTCCACGAATTGGGGAATCAGGCTCTCTAGGCTGGAAAAGATTTGCAGAAACAGGAGATGATTCAACTGTTCCAGATGCCCAGACCGATGAACCGGAGATGTCACTTAATGGCCAAGACCTCTTTGAAAGCTGGGTCATCGCAGAATCTTTTCGTAGCAAAGCTTCTAGAGTGCCTGCAAGAACCATGGATGATACTGTGGAAGATGACCCTTATAGAGTCATTCTGTTCACTGATATCGAGAATTTTCTTTTGCTATTGCCAAAATCTGCCGAGTACCTACGAGGATCTCTCTTGAATGCGTTTTTGATATTCTGTCATTTGCCTTCTATGTCTACTCAAGATCATGAGTCAAGAATGGATTGGAGCCATGATTCTTGCTTATATAATGAGGTGCTTGACTATGATTTTGGATGGGTCAAAGAGAAGTACTTGAAGAAATCTACTGAGGAATCGATCGAGAGCGAAGAAACGAAAGCGTCGCCAGTTTTCGCAACTCCTACAACGACTCTTGCAATGGCCCCAGAATCTATGTTTAGCAACGGCTGGTTTAGTAGCTTCAAGCCATGGCGAGAAGTATACGGTAATGAGGACAATGGACCCATTTCTTATTCATGGGTTCGCAACACTTTGAAACAACTCACACAATCATATCCAATAGAAGATTTCGCAGAATACTACTTAGCATTTGAATGGATAAACGAGCCTGCCACCATCAAGAAAGTCGCTAAAACTCTCATTAAACAACATACCTCCAGTCTCAAACTCTACAATGCGTACGCTATGATCGAATGGTTAAAAGGCAACCAGGAGATGTCAAATGGAATCTACACTGCAGCTTTAGGGATGAACCAATCTATGCCTTCTTCGCCAGACCTCAACGGCAACAAAGATTCAGTCTACCTCTGGAAAAGTCTGATATGGGCAAATATCTCGATCGGATGCAGAGAAACCGCATTGTCGCACTTCCTCTCAATCCCCCACGGTATTCCCAAACCAACCACCCCCACCGAAATCACTCCAACTGCCCTCCTCAAAACCCAACAACATCTCTCCTTCGCCCGTGATCATTTCCTTACCACCCAAAATCCTACACACGCAGTCCTGTACGCCGAACTCCTTGCCCTCCTCAAGTACCTGACCACCACCTCCACAAGCGCGCCCCAGTCTCCTCAACAAGGAAACATCACCTCCGCTCTCGAAATTCTCACCACCTTCTCCGTCCAACTTTCTTCCCGCTTGATCTCACCACAATTAGCCTACCCCCTATCCCTCCTCCACCAATCCACAGCCCGTCTGCTACACCACCACGCAAAATCTGGTCCCTATCGTCCTCAAACCCTTCATTCCCAACTCACCACCTCGCTACGCTTATTCCCAAATAATGCGATATTCTTTTCCCTCCTCACATCCCCAGGACTTGGAATCACGAAACTTATGAGCCCGATTACTCTGAGCACTTTGTTCTCTGATCTTTTGCATAATTCGACTTCTTCAACCCATAACATGCTACCCCTCTATCTCAACATTATCCACCACTATCTTCAGAACACTCAATCTGCATCTCCAAACCTCAATACAATAAACTCAACATTCGTTTCGGCATTAAATCTTAAAGGTTCAAAATCAAACTTGGATCCTGGACTGGCGAGTTCGAGTGCACTTTGGAGATTGTATTTATTGTTCTGTGATGTATACCCTCAGTTTCTACCCTCCTCATCCTCATCTACATCTGAATTCTCATCAAAAGCTTTAATGCTTGGGTCAGGGTCCGCCAGCAGGGAAAATAGCAGAGAAGAAATGAATCGCAAAGCAAATGGTATGGTGGAGCTTTGGAAACAAGCGATAGCGAGAACGCCATGGTGTAAGGGGATCTATATGGTTGGATTTGAGAGAATATGTGGGATGGGTGGTAACGATGGTAATGGTGAAAGAAAGAACAGGATTAGCAGAGGTGAAGAGGTTGACAAACAGTTGAAGAATATATGGAGGGTTATGGGGGAGAAGGAGATAAGGGTACACGCGGATTTGGAGGGGGTTTGGGATGAGGAGGAATAGGGATAGGAGCATAAGAGAACGAGAGAATAAGGTTGAAACATATTACATACGTTATTTGGTGGTTACATAGGAGCCCTATCTTCACAATATCGGATATCTAAGCTCCAGAGAAGAAAATGGACAATATCTACCTACATCAGATCAATCAGTAAAGTCCACTTCTAAATACCATGAATCTATTGCCTACAACTTCTTCATCTACATCTACATCTACATCCATACAACACCATACCATACTCTAAAATCCATACATATCAGGGTCCCTCTCCCCTTCTTCCTTCTCATCTCCTCCTCGCCATTTCACTCCAAACTACACACATACATACCACCTCAAACCCCCATCAGAAACCAAATCCAAATCCACTAATATCCACACCATCACCTACCTTCTCCCATTCCATTCCCTTCCCTTCCCTTCCCAAAGCCCAATCTTCTTATCCTCCCACCCATCCATCCAAAAATATACCCAAGTGCACAGACTCAACTCACGACACTCTCCCTACTGCCCTACTGCTCTACTGCCTTACTACCCAACTTTCCACAGAACCAAAAACGATACCAAAAAAACAATCCAAAGAAATCATGAAAAATCAATCCAAATCTCATTTCATTTCATTTCATTTCATTTCATTTCATTTCATTTCATTTCATTTCATTTCATTTCATTTCATTTCAATTCAATTGAATTTCTCTTCAAAACAAAACCCAATCAAACAGACCAGATCAAACCAGCCCAACCCAAAGCACCCCAAACCATCAAATTAAACAACCCAAAACAACCCAACCCACCCATCCAAACTAACCCCCGATCTACACCACCCATCTCATCTTCATACAAAGTTTCAGACACTCTTACCACAGTAGTAATAGTACTATATAGTACAACCCGGTACCATTACTACCAGACATATATCGTACACCACAAAATGCAATACGATTTAGAAATCACCCATCACCTCATCAACTCATCAAGAATTATAATTATAATTATAATTGCAATACAAATCAAAGTTTTTTGTTTTCCCTTTCCTTCCCACAGTCTGTGCACCCATGGACGATCCTCCTATCCTATCCTATCTTACTGTTCACCTCCCTCCTCTCCCATCTCCCACCTTTTGCCATTTTCTCTCCGCTGTGCTTGTCCGCCCTCAGGAGATATCTATCTATCTACCTACCTCAATGCCTCAATACCAACCTCAACCTACCCATATCACAGCATCTATGCAATCACTAGATCAACAAAAATAATAATAAGAACATAGTGTGCCCCCACACAAAGAAGACAAACCAAGACTAAACAAAGACAGGCGGCAACCTAAGAAAGTAAGAAAATATACATTGGGCGATGGCCAACCTAAGCCAGAGCTAAAAAGCTACGAAAAGCTTCAACCTAGAATGAACATCAAAAGAAAAGATGCAAGAGAGTTTGACTAACCTACCATGCAATTGCCCATACGGCACATACAAACCATTCCCTTCACCATCATCACGCTATTCCCCCAACATACGCAAACTATCTAACAAGCATGATTTCACTCATCAAACAAAATCAATCATCAACACGCATAGCTCATCTCATAAAATGTCAATGAGGTGTAGTAAAAAAAGGTCAGTTACATAGAACAAAGGTACAATTCGCATCGTTGAGTTATTTTTTCTGCTTTCTGTGCTCAACCCATGCACATCCTTCCTTCCCTTTTCCCTTCTTTATCTCGTTGCCCGGCACAATCAATTGCCCCCCTTCTCAAACGTATGAACACAAATATTATGAGTTACCCGTCATGAGCCTTCTCTCTGAAAAATCCCCTCCCGCCTTTCTATGAAAACCAGAATCCCAAAATCCGAATGCCAATACCCGAAAACCGAAACTCGCCCGAATAACGTCCCATGTATCTATCGTCATGTCGTGAAAATGCTGGCATGTCAATTCAAAGCAAAAGGTCGTGATTCGGCCGAAAGTCGTTGGGAAAAACGTATCGAGTGGAATCCTTAGTGTTAGTGATCGAAAAGCGTAATGGAAAAGTTGTTGTGTACAAAGTCGCATTTGGCAATGAGAGGAATAAGGAAACGAAAGGTAGGATGCGGAAGGTGTCGCGCAAATAGGTATATTTGGTCGAGATCGAGGTCTGGAGGATACTTGCAAAAGTCTGGTGAGATGACGGATCTCAAAGAGAAGCGATCGGTGAAAGGGCGCATATTGATCGAGGGCGATATTCGTTGCGTGGAAAATCGCGAATTAAGCTTATCTGCGTCCGAACCTGCTACACAAAAGGAAGTTCGTAATTGATCATCTTTATTTTTTCCTCGGAGTGACGGGCCTGCTGGAGGCACCTAGACCACCTGTTGTGACGTACTTTTGTTTTTTCTCCGCTGGTTTTAAAATCTGGAAGAGGAAAATTAATATAACACTCATAAAAATGAGGACGATGCAATTGCGACCTACCTGGAATGAACATAGCAAACTCTCATCCACACTCATCATCGCTCCGGCATTGTCAAACTCTCCACAGTAGTTGGGCGCACTGAAGAGTGTTACCAATTGCCGCTTTGAGAAGAACTCGTAACCATCCTCGACGACTTGATGAGCTCTGCATATCAAATCCATATCATGCTTTTGTAAGAACCTAGAAACAACATCGGGACCGAATGTGAATGATACACCACGATCGTTTTCGCTCCAGCCGGTGATATCCTTGTCTGGATCAGACCAGAGGAGATCGCAAAGGAGACCGCAATCAGGAATCTAGTTTCATATTAGCAAGAGCTCTGGCCTCCTCCCATGGCACATTGAGAGCTGGCAAATGAAAAGCTTTATCTGGTGGACTCACATCAGTTGGTCGCATGACACGACGGATTTGCTCCATGGAGTTCAGATCTGGACTCAAACCACCGTGCATAGTGAAGATTTTTTCGTCAATGATTGCTGCAATGGGGAGGCAGTTGAAGCAATCAGTAAATGTCTTCCATAGCTTAATGTTGTATCTTCTCTTGCACTCGTCGTAGAAACCGTAGATTCTGTTGATGGAGGCACACTCGTGGTTACCGCGGAGGATGAAGAAGTTTTCTGGGTATTTGATTTTGTATGCTAAGAGCAAACAGATAGTCTCGAGGGATTGTTTGCCTCTATCAACATAATCACCAAGGAAGAGGTAGTTAGCCTCAGGAGGAAATCCACCATATTCGAACAAACGGAGGAGATCGTAGTATTGACCATGAATATCACCACAGATCTATAATCATGCCATTCAATCAGTATTGCTTTACGAGCCTAGCGCATTGAACAAATGAATGCTTAATATCATACCTTGATTGGTGCCTCGAGCTCTAAGAGAATAGGTTGAGAGATGAAAATTTCGCGAGCCTTGGTGCAAAGATAACGAATTTCTTGTTCCAAAAGCTGTACTTGTTTGCCTGGTCTGCTGCCTCTAACTTCTAGCAGTCTATCAATGATAGAGTCGAGATCGACTTCTGGTTCTGCCATCGCGTTTGTCCTCCTTCAGGAGAATTTGACTGTAGGTGTTGTAATGTAATCCGCAGCAGGTGGACGTCAAAAGACAGTGGATTATAAGGTCGTAGATGTGTTTACGCTAGGGCTTTAATTCACTTCACTTCTCGATCTGCTGCGCGTTATAGATTAGTCTAAGCCAAGATAACTTGATGTAAATGGAGCCTTTTGATTATGTTGGAAGCGAAGCTCAACAAGATTAAGGAGGGTTCGAATAACTTACAATGAAGTTGAATCCGCCTCAATGGATTTCTCTGAGGGAAACCACGTCAAAACTACTCTTTAAGGAGTATTTTTCTTGATGTCGTGATGTTGTGGCAGTGTTAATGAATTGGGCTCAAGAAGTCACCAACTGTATTAAGCTGAATAGAACTCTGAGTAAACAGGTATGTGAAAAAGAGGTGATTTGTTATGATTTATTCACCGGTCCTTTTTGAATTATGGATTCGCCGCTTATGTCGCAAAGGATGCGATAATCTCGTCTTAAGAATCGTAGATGAAGTTTCGCAAAGTAATCTTTGTCGACTCGAAAATATTTCGTGGTTGTCAAGTCGAGGGATGAAGTTGTTACGGGCTTGTCGGATTTCTCTTGTATTTTCAACAAGCGCGCTCTCGTTTATCGCCTTAAAAAAAGGTCAAAGGTTCGAGAACGGCCGTACAAAGCAAGCAGTGGAGCCAGGAACAGAAGAAAAAAAAATAAGATGAGTGTGAGAGCCAGACAGAGTCGAGAGAGTCTTTAGGTAGAAAGAGAGGAGGGGAAATTTTTAATTTTCTTATGATATATCGGTGATTCGGATTTTCCTCTCCTTTCCTTTCTTTTTCTTGGATTTATCTCTTTCTGGTATAAATCTTTTGGTGTTAATTTTATATGGTGGGATAACTGAAACTTTTGAAGTTATTCCAAGTCACACACATACAAATCCTCGCTTTGGGGGGAATGATTTCGTTTCTTCACAAATATAGTAAGACTGCCTGTACTGTGATGTGATGCATAGTAGTATAGAGGTAAGAAAAGTTGGAAGGAGGAAGGGGTTACGAGGGGGTTACGAAGGGGGAGGGGGTGGCGAGATTAATCTGGGAGAGAAGAAGAAGAACAGCCAAGTTGGAGGAACAGTTTAGCTTTATGCCTTGCTTAGGACTGGTTGACTGTTGACTATCATTGACTGTTGACTGCATCTCGAAATGTATGGAGTCAGTACACGAGTCAGCCAGCGGTTTGCATCTTGTATGGGCTGCGGGTGCGAACGTGATTAATACTGGAATACTGGAATACTGGAATACTGGAATACTGGAATACTGAAATACGACAATGGCAAACAAGAACGTTGATAGACCGGTCAAGTATCTGTCAATGAGTAGGTATGAGTACCTCAAGAGAACTATCAATGTCATGCATTATTTCGAGGCCTTCACTTGTTTTGAAGCATACATAACCTCAATGAATGAGTGTATCCCACCAAGTAAGAAGGCTGCCGTGCCGGTATGTACTCATGTAGATTAAGTGTGAGTGTAAAAGTGTAAGTGTAGCTTTTGAGCTTTTGCATCGTTTATCATTTATTGTATCTGAGTGCAAGTCTATTTTGGGTGATGAGGCTACTCTTGCTGTGTTACCATATGAACAAACGTTGACTCTTCTTTTGGGAATGCAAAGTCTCATGTACACATTGGGTACATTTCTCCTTCAGTCAGATTCCTGTGTCACTTCGTTCGAGATTGCCAATGTTTCCATTGAGCACAGCGAGCTTGTGCAACCCCCTCTCACCTCCCTCCACGCCTACATCGTCCAGTGATAGTCGTGTTCAAGCAGCGATACATTTAAAGCGCTCATGCAGTTGTTTTTCCTTAAACTCCATTGCTTCATTCTTTCTTCAAGGCTGCTTTTATGTTCCTAATTTTATAACCCCTGAAGTAGATCTGCTCTCAATCTTTTTCAACAAAACCAACTCCTCACCCGAATATATACTCAATATCTAACTCCTCAGTATGGACGGAATACACGAGCCACGGCATCTATTCCACATCTACTCGAGTACTGACTGTTCTCTCCACTCTTCCAAGATTGGGGATGTCCGCAAGCATACTTCATCTCTTCTCCAAATCCACATGTGAATACGACAACCTTTACGTGGAGGATTAGATTAGACTTGGAGATTTGCAGTTACGATATACGATATCAAGACACGAACAATGACCGCACTGATGTTTGGTGTTGCACTATCGCTCAAGATCTCAACTTCTCAAGATCTTTTGCAGCGGTCTAGCTCATATCATCGCCGATATTATAATACCGGTCCCGCCCGTACCTTAAAAGGTCAAGAATTAGTCCTCTTTTTCACTCGACCATACTAGTTTCGGCCCCTTCCACTACTCCTATTTTGGGTTTTGACGAATCAAACCTTATACACAACTAATCGCCAACAACAAGCTACATTCTGGCTACTTATGTACCTGTGAGAAGATTGTTTGCCTACTGATGCCTCCTCCTCGTGTATCTGATTGGTTCGTCCTGTTTATTCTCACCGTTCACCGTTCACCGGCTTGCTCTCAAGCCCATTTCTACACATTTACGCACACTTGATACCCCACCAACAGTAAGTATTTCATCAATGGCCCAGCCGCAAAAGACTGTCTTCCTAACTCAACATTGTCTGTGCCTAGAAACTGCACTGCAGCGAATCATGTATCATATCTCAAGCCACATTGGATTCAAGACACTCCATACATGGGAATCCCCTCAATTTTCATATGTTTTCTTTTCTTGTCTTCGCTTCATCCCGACAAGCCGGTACTTTGGTAGATCACATGCATTTATCAGCTCATGATTACCCCGCTATATCTAGTAACAGCTGGTTAGCCACCAACCCGCACATTTCCAGAAAATTCTTGTCGGGAGACTATCGGATCGGCCCTTGTGTCATCCTTGCCGAGTCCCGAACTAACCTGTTCCTGTTGTCATGGTTTTCGGCTTCTGAACTGATGACCCCTCTCATGACTTCGTTAGCACCTGGATCAAGCAATCTCGAAACGGGAATGTCTACTTTTTGACCGATCGCAATGCAGTCGCGGGTGTTCCTTGTTGTGGGCGGTGTAGTGCCTCTCACTTCACTTCATTTGTGTTGCAACAACGATTCAATGTCCAGCTTTGCAACAGGAATGGTATCAATATCCTTTGTTCTTTTAACGGATATAATGCTTGCGCGTTGCAATGTTTGATGCTCGCTCAATTGCCATAAGTGTGGTGATCTTGGCTTAGTTTTACATCTTCAATCTAGGGATTTTCATACTGCATGCATATCTTAGCTTTTTATGCTTTTAAGACTTCCTAAACAGTGATTATAACCGTATAAACTCAACAGCTTTACGTTACACTAAGCCTTTCTGAAATAAGATTATACCATGATTTCCTATTCCCGGGTGAGAGCTTCGATAAAGTGGATCGAAAAATTAACTTTGATAATCCATCTGATAATACTTATAGCACCTTAGTCTATAATAGGGAAATTGCAATACAATCTGGGGTGTGCTGCCGCACACGTTGCTTTGAAGCCTGCCTTACAAGTTACCCAATTTGTTAATTCACGTCAATTGTTTTCTTTTCCTTTCTCCTTTCCCGTCTCTCCGATCTCCCCCCTTTATTCATTGGGGGGAAGGGTCGAGTGCTTCCCCCTTCTCCTAGACTTTCCTCTTGCAATGCCAAAGGGCTTCAAGGTATATGAAGATATGCATTCTATACTGCTACATTATCTAGTAGAGTGATCTAGTATAGAAAACATGCCCTTTTGCGGCACACAAAAAACTTTGCAAACCCCTCAGCGCGTTGGCTTTCTCGCGGGCTCTCAAACAAAGTCGTTGTGTTTATGTGGTATGCCATGATTTCCTTATTTCATGGCAAAAAGTTAAGATCTTCATCTTGCCAAAAGTTTGGGCTGAAATTATACCCTCGTTATGACAGCTGATAGGTCTGACTACTGTGTGCTTGGTCTAGCAACTGAGCACTATAATCATACAACAAAACAAATAACGGCAGCGATACGCCGATTTTCTCTCTGTTTGATAGCTGAAATAGCTTACATTCCCCTTTGATGAATCAGTAGCGAACCCCAGAGGGTTTCGCGTTTTATATGCTAAGTATGACCTAAACACATATCCCCAAATATCTTTTACAGAAATTGTTGTGTCTGGGCCATGGAAGTACCCCACCCGTTTCAGAATACTAATGCGAATACCGTCTCTGCCGCACATTATCAACATCACATATAAGAGGATTTCTTGCGTTTCCTAGATTGCCTTTCGTTCAATCACAAGATGTACGACGCCGACATATGTGACATGTTTTTTCCCCATCAACTGTCGGACCCGCACTTCTGACAGAAGCTGGCAGCTAATGTTCCTCTGCTACCATACTATCGAATGTGTATTGACCCGGAAACTAAGTACTTGACAGCAGAACAGCTTAGCACTCTGTTGTGTTATTTCATGAACCTTCAATGTCCTGCCATGTGGAACTTCTTCAAGCTCGCTACTTGTGCTTCTCAAATCTTCATCAGCCACGCTCTCTAACAATCAGTATACCTGCCTTAAGCATGCGAAGTATCTTTATCAATGCAAGATTGTACACATTATTTTCAGAACACCAGCAGAAGACTCTCCGGTCTGATAAGACAGTGTTGGGTATCAGATAATTTCCGGAAGACATTCGTGATACCTTTCTATCCCTTGTCTCAGACTTCAAAATATGACGTATATGTAAGTTCATGATGGGAGAGTTTCCCGCAGTGAATTGTATGTACCCTCAGAAAATAGACCCACAAATTGATATCTTACTTATACACAGCACTATGCTATTCTGCTTCTCGGGCTTCTCATAAATAGAGTTGAAATTCCTCTTCTTCTACTTCTCTTTCTCTTTCTTCTCCGATATCGTTTTTTTGCAACACAGGCGCAGGCTTTCTTATCTCACTTGGATTCCTGGAAGC